CATATACAATATTTCGATTTTGTTTTAGTGATTCTTTAAAATTTACAGTTGTAGAAGTTACTCTATTCTAGACAGAATTTTTGAGCCATTAACAGTCTTGTCTCTGATTATAAGCCTATTAAGGGCCCAATAATGTTGCTCCTAACGGCTAAATTCTAGAAAACATTTGAACGTTGTTGATTCAGTAAATGTGATGTTTGCCACAATTCGTTTCGTGCTATTCACGCTTGTGTAGTCGCAGGTATGTAGGTTTTTTTTAATCAGTTTCTGATAATTTGACTTACATTTGTAATGCTATGCTTGCAAATAGGTGCTTCTGATGCCCAATATAAGGATAACCTAAAATACACATATATTTTAATATATTGTCGCATATTTAAAAAAAAAAAAAAACTTCGTAAAGGAAAGAACTAGTGGCTCAGAGTAGTGATCAATACATTTTACATTAAAATCTATGAATATAATGAAAAGAAAAGCTGAAGAAGATGCTTGACACAGAGATACTTTCTATTGCTCGGTGCTCATCAGTATTCGATGTTTGGTTTCTGAAGTTTCCCTTTCGATAAATTAATAATAATCCTTATATAAAAGCTACTTGCCCAAAAATCAACCTAAATGAAATAATATCAACCGTTCGTATAAAAAGTATACAAAGGTTGGTACATATATAATAATATACTTAACTAGTCGTCAAATCGAAAAAAAAAGAGAGGAGAATATGGGAATAATTTGTGTCTCAAACTAGTGGTAAACACTACTCTCGTTAGTGTTTATGGGCATTCTTTCAATCTTTCAAAATAAAAAAGAGTAACCAATATATTAAACTTATGATATAAATTGAAATTAACTCAATCGAATAATGATAATATATGGTACCAATGAATCGATTTGTCATGATTTGTTGGCCTAGCAGATTAATTATGAATTGAAATATCACATATTTATGCGTCGTTTTTCTGCAAGTAGTTCGAAGTACTATTGTAAAGATTTTGTTCTAGTCGATCTAATTAGTCGTCTTTTGTGTCTGCTCCTAGATGCATTTTTTTCCAGACATGGCAACGAATATAGAATCTAAATTAATCTATTAACGGTGAAAAATAATTTACAGGAAAAGCTTGAAAATGACTCTTAACGATTGATACCAGTCGTAAATTGTGGTTTTTGCAAGCTGGAAATCTTATTGCATGGATCTGATACCTTTCTTCTCCAATTACTTTTTCTTTTCATGTTTCTCGTGTTTCCTTTTTCTTCAACACACTTGTATATATGTATAAGCTTTGGTTACATATCTGAATCGTTGCATTGTGTTCTCACACTAATAATAGTATCTTACATTTCAAATTTAGAAATATAATGTCTAACGTTCGTCCATGGTTCCGTCTCTCTAGCATCGCTAGGCCTACATCACAAGGCTCAAGCGACCCACCTCCTCCACCTCAACCCCGACCAACTCCTCGCCGTCAGGTCCAAGTCAGACCACCGCCGAAACAGCCGTCACCTCCACGTCAGCAACAGCCTCCTTCCCCTCCACGTCAGCAAACTCCTCCACCTCCACATCCTCAAGAGCGGTCCTCATATCATTCACCACCAAGCCGCCACATGTCACCACCGACCCCACCAAAGGCTGCGTCTCCGTCGCTATCGCCGCCACCACCACCGCCTAGGTCTTCGTACACGCCGCCACCATCTCCCAAGGAGGTTCAAGAAGCCATACCACCGCGAAAACCAACTTCACCACCGAGTCCAGCTCATTCGACTCGGTCAGTAAAATCTGAATCATCAGAGAGTCCTCGAAAAGCACCATCACCGAGAGTACTCTCTCCTTACTCTCTCCCGCCTCCACAGTTACATTCTGAACGCGAAACCACTCAGAAAAACATTCTCACAGCCGAGAAAACAAGCCAACTCCATGAACCAAATCATCATTACCAACACCATAACCAACACCAGAACCAGAACCATAACCATAACCAGAACCAGAACCATAACCAGAACCAGAACCAGAACCATAATCATCAAGGCAGCAACACCAAGAAGACTCATTATCCGCCATTATTTTCCGAATCCGAAAACATAATGGGTACACGAGTCATCACCATTGCAGGTGAAAACAAAGGTGCGGTGATGGAGATCCTACGATCTCCTTCAAGCAACAAAACCGGAGGAACAGGAACACATTCCTCTAGGGTTTTAAACGGCGCGGGAGAGAAAGGACGGCGACTCCAAAGCAGCAGTAGCAGCAGCAGCGACGAAGGAGAAGGAAAGAAGAAAACGACGAAGAACCATAACAACATTGGCAATAATAGTAATCTCCCGATGAAAGCTTTTATGAACAGTAACGTTCAGATGATAAACAACTCTATTGTTTACAACTCGACCGCGACTCATCACGATCCCGGCGTTCATCTGAAAATCTCCCGGAAACCTGGCTCCGGAAATGGTTTCGACGTCAAGGATTACGGTAATAATGACGGCGGATACACCAATTGAGAAAGAAAAAAATCATCTCTAAAAGAAGAAAGTCTAAAGGTTTTGGGTTTAAATTTGCAATAAATTGAATTTGATTAAAATAAAAGAAAATGAGGAATAAAGAAAGAAAAAAAAAGAGTGGGGTAATGGTTTCTGATTCTTGTAAGCTTTTGGAAACCCTCTCATGCATTTGGAGGCTTTGGTTCATTTACTGGAACGGATTATGTTTACTTGTATTAGTATTATAATAATAATCATGAAATTGTTTCAGTATTAGTAGTACTTTACCGGTAAAGCCTTTTATTGTGAGGAACCGTGGACCCAATATACTAATGGGTAGGCTCAATTTCGTAGTTTGGGCCTTTACATACATTTTATACTACTGTTATACATTGAGGTAACGATATTTTTCTTTTCACTGAAAGTTACTTGTATTGAATGAAACCTGATATATATTCTTATTCCAAAATAGTAAAAAACAGACAAAAAAGCCACGCGAAACAGAACTGAAAAACTGAAAGCAACGATATATATAATCTAACTGAGACAAAAACAGAGGCAATAGTAAAAGTCCTCTCCTTCTCGAACAGATCTCGCTACCAAAACGGTCCACACCTATTATACAAATTTATACACTCGTTTGGAAGTTTTGTAAGATAGAGAAAATAGAAGTAAACTTGGATTACCTCTTAATTCTTATAAGACAATAACATTCATACCAAAAAAAAAAGTTCTTATAAGACAAAAGGAATCAAAGGGTAACGATTTATATAATGTAATCCAAAAGAGCAACTCGTACTCTCTTAACTCAAGTTAATTAAATAACTCTTAATAATATAGTCACAAGCGACAAATTTATGCGAAGAGAAGAGAACTAATCCTGTTACTAATCAAATGGCTTTCACAAATCAACACAATTACTTCAACTCAAATGTCAGCTCCGTTACGAGACATATCCCGTTAGGCCGCAGCTCATGCAGCCATGCTTCAATAAATCCAGAAGTCCTCTTTTATCTACCTAAATATCGATCCTACAAAATATCTCCAACGAAGTCATATACTTATCATGTTCAAAAAAGAATAAAAAATTCATATACTTATCCAGTTAATAATATCTGTTTGGCTAATTATATAATATATATAAATATCATGAGTAACAAGGACGAAAAGAAAATTACATTCTTATAACGTCTCATCTCAGTCTCCCTGCTATACTCCTATTACACTTCTACGTACATTTTAAAATTATCATTCGTGGTTTCTCGAGACGGTAAGTTTTTTCTCTAAAAAATAATCTTACTGAAATATATATATATATATATATATATATTATCTCTAGGATAACATGTATATTTTGTTGTTATTGAATTCATTGGTTTTAACTCAATTTTTGTAGATTTTAAAAGTTTGGCATGGTTATATCTTGACCTAACAAAAACATAATATACTTTCGAAAAGTTATGTAATAGAAGTATAGAGCTAAAGTAGACATTATTATTAGGCAAAAGATAACAAAGGTCTAGGACCAAGAAGCAAATGACAAAGAGAAAGGAGAGACAAGTGTGTGTGGGGTATTGTGTAATTGGGGTACTTTGCATGTGATGCATGGCCTTCCTATTCTATTATGTTTTTGAGGATTTAATAGGTATCCAACGACCTTATGACTACTTAATAATAGTGATGATATTAGTTTCGCTACCAAATCATCAAAAAGCGACGCATTTGGGAGAAGCTGGTTCGGATTGTGATTTGGTAGCAAAATCCATCACAAATGGTAACGTATTGGGGAAGAAGTTTAATAAGGACCAATTTGGAATAGGTTTTTCAATAATGAAGAAAAATATAGCAAGTGTTTCTGTCAACAGAAACGACATAGTTGTTTCCAACTTAGAAAATGATTTTACGTCAAACTTTTATAAAATTCGGTAACCATCACTCTTAATGTTTGATCGCTAGTGTTTGAATATATTATTGTTGATCGTGAAGGAACGAACCGCGACATTTCTGTTATAGTGACCACAGTAACTGCATTGCTTCGACTAGATTTGGACCTTCTTAAGGGGAATCCAAAGTTGCTGAATAATAATTATTGTAATAAGATATCAAAAATGTGTAAAAATTGACTGAAACCAGAACTATCGGTTTTGTGCAACGAATTGTTCCTTCAGTGTCAAATCAAACGATAAAGCATCGAAAGCAACAGAAGTCTACCAACAAGATTACAAGAAATGAACCAAGGAGGCAAAACTGAAAATGATTAAATTATTGGGTCAAACTTTGATAATATATAAGTGATCGTGTCAAAAAAGTAATTTCTTAATAATCGAGACCAGATAAGCACAACACCACTAACATGTGGCACCTACTGATTGGCCTTGCCTCCCAAAAGGCAGACCTATCTCACCCACTGTCCGTTTATTGACACGTGTCAGGAGCTGAAACACTCTCCTTTTGAGTCCAATAAATTTCTCATTTCATATTATTCTTTTGCTTCAGACCCATTTCACTCTTTCGGGAAGAATTATAAAACCATGACGGTACGTAAATTTGTAGTTATTCCTTCTACTTGAAATATTTTGTTCAATCTCTTTTTTTTTATAGCTGTGAATTAAAACCGTCCTGTTTTCTGGATTTTTCTCGAAGATCTTTAACTGGGTGCAGAAAAAGCTGCACCAAAATGTCATCAAAGGTTAGTTTTTTTTTTTGTTACTTCTAAATCAGTATTTTCATTATTAGAAGTATAGTGCGCTACTTTTTTGTATAGTATCATTATATCGTATACGATCATGTGCTTCCCTGTTTATTATTTAGTTTTATATGAAACTTATTATACACTCGCGCGTTACAACAATCATAATGTTTGTCCAGGCTATATTTAGATTCATGTGTATTTTCATATGGTGAAAGAAATAGATGGTGTGGCAAAAAGCGAGAAGGAGAAGAAGAGTGAAGGAAAAAGTGAGATAGAGAAGAACACGAAAGCTATATTTGATCAGGTTGGGTTAGTGGGTGCTCTTGATAACTGGTTCGATGGAGTTCTCACCATCGGCACATTCGGTTTTGACACATTGAAATTTCAAGAAGAAGAAGACGAAATAGATGATGATGATGAATGTGAGACTGAGGGTCTCGACTATGTCGTAATCGATGGTAGTATCGTCAAAAACGTTAACCAAGAGTCACATCCTCTTATCTCCAGTGAAAATAAGTTTTATGATCATCATGAGGATTTAGTGGTACGTTACGTACATGAATTCTTTATCGACAACATCTTTCGTTTCAAATGAATTTACAACTTCAAACATTTTAAAAAGCACATTTCATTTGCCTAATGTAAGTCGCATATGTCAAAATATCCAATTGTTTTGGCGTTTACGTTTGCATTTGCAAAAAACAAAAAATTTGTCAAAATTTTTCGCAATGTGCGAACATTTTAGTCAAAACAATTCATAAATACGTTTTTCATGGAAACCATATTTAAAAGATTAACTATTCCATCCTCAATTATACGTACAATGATATAATCTTATAGATTGATTTACTTGAGTTCTATCATATAATCTATATAGGTATTGGACATTGATCACTTTGACTCGGTCAAAACCGTTGAAAGGCCGGTGGTCGTGGCCGCGGTGGAGGCCGAGGTTGAGCCGGAGAAGAAGAGGATAACACTAGCCGAGCTTTTCATCGAAGAAGATGGTACGTGTCCCGGCAAGAAGAAACCAAAGAACCCTAATCTTAATGTTGATGGTCAGGAGGTAAAATATTATAAACAAGACGGGTCAAAGCTAACTAGTAAGCTCTCGTTTGCTAAGAAGAAGATGATCAATTCAAAGTCTAAAGATAAAGAAGAAGACTCGCGTCCAGTAAAAAAAGTGCATGACTCGCGTCCAATCAAGAAAGTGCATCAGGTAAGCTAATTTATATTTTGACATACGAATATGTTACATGTGCCTGAGTGCCTCTATTATTCAAACAAAAAGACATCACGTCAAGCTCTAGATAATGTTGCCTGTCTGTTATTATTATTATTTTTCGGCGCATGTCTATTACTATCAATTAGTATCACATTGTTGCTTCATAAGTGTACTTATTATATGTGAGTAAATATCCATTCGATGTGTACGACTACAACATTATTTATATATGTTAATTGTAGATGATAAAGAGGATGTTAAAGAAGAAGATCCATCCAGATATCGATGCGACTAAGGCTTCTAAAAATGACGTTCCATACAAGCCAACCCGGAAATGTGAAGCTCTCGAGTCACTTTATCTTCTTAACATTCAAGGTTCGTCCTTTTTTAATTATTTGCATAAGTGCTCCATTGAATTATCTTTTTGCTCATCTGCTTTGTTGGACAGATTGCGTGGCCTAGAAGTCTTAGAACGACGTCGTACGAGAGCGATTATTGGATGTATGCTTTTCATATTATATGAGATTTCTCTTTTCCTCTTTCTTTTTTTTTTTTTTGTTATTTGGGAATGTGTTGGTGGTATCGTTAAGATTGTTAAGATGTATTGCTTTCTTATTACAAACCATTACGGAGTTGTTTGTTCCAGTTTCATGCATATTTTATTTTGTTATTATGTGTAGTCACATGTTTTTTTTAGATGTATTTATTTATATACTTCCTGCATCGTTCTACAAGTTTTCTGTATCAAGAAAAATCGTCGGTTGTGATTGTGAATGTGTGATTCCGAGGTATCATTCCATTATGCCATAGCTTAGTTAGTTTTTTTTGAAAATTTCCATATATAGTCATAAACTAATTAACCTACTAAATTATTATATTCGGCATAATCTTTTCATATACTATTCAGAATCATCATCGACTTTCTATCAATTACACGTCGAAACTTTTCTTTATACAGCAAATACGTGAGATTTATAAGTAGGAAGCTCTTTTGCGTCATTGGGCCTGACGAGAAAAGTGATTTTGAGGCTTTTTCAAAAGTTTAAACAAAAACAAAAAAATGAAGCTTGACTTCTTTTAAGTTATTTAAGAGAAAAATAAAACGTGAAGAATTTCACCAACCCGAAGTCGCTGAGGCGTCTCAGCTACCATAAGCTTACAAACATCATATTCTTCACGTTTCACTATGGTAGGTACCATGTTTTACGTTTCTTCTAACGCCTTGAGTTATTTACTAACTGTAAATAAATAATTGTAGGTAAGGTATTAACTACTACATAGTTCGCTCCTCGTCCATTTTTAAAAGCTGAGGAAAAAAAAACCATTTACCCCTTTCTTACAATTCCCAAAAAAGACTATAATATTCTTAAAACCAGGAAATAAAATATTCAGGAGTTTCACAATATAAACAGAACGCGTGTGGTATCGAGAAGTTGCTCTCTGTTTTAACTAGGTTTGTAATCATTCACACAAACACTTCCTCTGTTTCAGGTTCATTTTATCTGCAAGAGCATCAGAAAGTAATCAATGGCGAATCTAATTTCGTTTCATGATGTGGCTAAACATAAGTGCAAGAACGATTGTTGGATTCTTATCCATGGAAAGGTCTACTTTTTTTTTCTTTGTTTAAATCCACATAAACAAAATTAAAGATTTTGAAATGCTCTGTTTTTTTGGTTAGCTTTCTCTTCTGTTTCTAAGACCAGTGATTCCACAGGTCTATGACATCAGCACTTTCATGGACGAGCATCCCGGCGGTGACAATGTTCTTCTCGCCGTCACCGGTAAGTAAGATTCTATCGGTTAAATCATTGTCTAGTGATTTTGTGAACTTATGAAAAAAAAACTGAAAATGAAAAGGGAAGGACGCGTCGATTGATTTTGACGATGTGAACCATAGCAATGAAGCAAAGGAGACAATGAAGAAATATTTAATCGGTGAAGTTGACCAGTCAACAGTTCCGGTGACGGCGAAGTATATTCCCCCGTGGGAGAAGGAATCTACAACGGTAACCACAAAAGAGGAATCTGCAAATAAGACCCTTGTTTACTTGGTTCCTCTGTTGATTCTCGGCCTTGCTTTCGTTCTCAGATTCTACAACAACAAGCAGACAAGTTAAAAAAACAAAAATAAGGGTCTTATGATGAAAGATCCACCATTGGTAGTGTTGTAATGTAATCTGGGTTTTGTGTGTTCGTCGTAATAATGGGCTTCTCATGCGAAGGCCCATGAATGGGATTTAAAACTATAATGTCTGATTTATCTTTATGTTATCTATAACGTTTTTGCATTCTGTATTTCTAGCAAAAAACTTTCCACGTGTATAATTTCAACCTTTATATTGTTGGTTAATTTTTTTGGCACATTAATGATATAAATATGCATGTCTTTTTTTTTCTTTTTTTGAACAATATATGCATATCTTTTTTGACAAAATAGACACAAAGATATTGATTTTAAATTTTATGAATTGACAACTTATTTGGTTTCATGTAAATTAGTATTTCATATATATAGTTTTTTAACTTATTCTTGCGATGCTGTTGTTTTCATGCGGAATATTTAAATAAAATGTGAGAATATTATTCTTGAAAAAGGGTTATATAGATGTTTAAAAAAAAAAGTAAAACATTTTCCAGAGTTAATAAGAATTTTTTGAAATGGTACTTTTGAAAAATGCTTTACTTTTCAGGTTAACCACAGTAAACATTTCTCCTTTTTGTCGCATTCAAGAGATAATTCTCCTTCATTTTATTCAGAAAAAAAAAAAAAACTACAAGTATACGTGTCGAGTCTGTGTAATTTCTAAACTCTAAAGTGACATATCGATATAACACTATCCGGAATCACGGTAAACATTTCTCTAATATTATTATATAATTATAACTAAAACAAATTACGCTTTAAATATAGAAATTAAAAACACAACGGTATAAATTACTTCTTTCACTGTATTTACAACAGTAGAAACACATCACCTTTCAAACTCACAAATCACAACATAGACTCACACAAAAACACCTCACGTATCAAAAGGTTAGTTCTAATAAAACAAAAAAGCTGCATAATTTGTTTCCATTAATTTTAAGTCTTCAATTTTCTTTTTAAATGCGCCTGCAGCGCACTTTAGCAGCAAGAGGATTAGCCATCTCACATGAAAGCCTCAGTTTCTCAGATAAGTCAACGCCATTTCCATCGGACGGTCCCCATTCAAAGTCGTGTAACAGCCTCGCAGTCCAAAATGTAACGGTTGTCAAACCCAGATTCTTCCCGGGGCAGATCCGACGACCCGAGCCGAAAGGCGCCAGCCTCAAATCCGACCCGAGAACCGAAAATTCCACCTCACCTTCTTTCGCCACGAATCTTTCGGGTTTAAACTCCAAAGGATCGACCCACACGTGTGGATCATGCGCTATGGCCCACATGTTCACCATTGCTGTGGTCCCCGCCGGAACAAGACGACCATCAACGATCGTGTCTGTTATGGCCAAGCGGGCCCATGACAAAAGTGGGCCTGGAGGATGAAGCCTCAATACTTCTTTCACCACAGCCGTTAGATATGGGAGTGCAGCCAAGTCAGACTCATCTACGGCTCTTAATTTTCCGACTACCTGATCAAGCTCGTTCTGTACCGTCGATTGAATCTCTGGATGAAGGACCATCCTCGCGAGGATCCACTCGATTAAAACAGCCACCGTATCTGTTCCTCTGAATATCATCTCCTGTAATAATAAAAAACCAGAAATGCGATATTTTAATTTCGTAAGTACTTCTTTATTACTTTATATAGATTCTGTTAATAAATATTTTAGGGCTTTATTTATCCCACCCACGTCACATTCCGTCTAAAATTCAATTGTCTTTTTTTTTAAATTTAATCAGAATTTAACATTCTTAAAAGTTTAAATTACCCAGAGAACGGCGATGATGTCCGGGTCGGATAATTTATCCGAACCATGGAGGGAGAGCAGAACGTCGACGAAATCACGAGGAGAGTCACCGGTTTGATTGCGATGTTCGAATATAATCCGAGAAACAAACCGGTTTACCTTAGGTACGAGTGTGGAACATCTATACCGGATTCTCTGAGGATCGAATTCCGATAACCAAGGAAGATGATCGGTCCAGTTCAATGTTCCAAGCAAATCATAGCCTTCTTCTACCAATTCACGTAACTCATCATGGTCTGTATCAAGCTCGTACTCTTCTCCGAAAACAGAGCACATCATGTTACTTAGTGACGCCGTTTTAAGCAACTCACGAACAAAACAGAGTCCGTTGGCACTCTGTTTCTCGAGAAATCCAACCATCTGGCTCGCGATCACTCGCCTCTGCGTCTCGGCTCGTCTGATTTGTTTCGGGCTAAAGAGATGGTTCGTAGCGATCCGGCGCAGAGTTCGCCAGTAAACACCGTGTGGTGCGAAACCAATCGCCCGGTTAAACATCAGAGAGTAAGCTGATTCTTTAACCGGACGGTCGGAAAAAACCGGGCTATTCAGAATCTCTTTAGCGACGTCTGGATTGCACGTGACGATCACGCGTGTCTCGCCTAAGCTGAAAGCCATAAGCCGCTTGGCTCCGAATCTCTCTGCTATGTCTGCGATTCGGCGGTGAGCTAGAGTGCTGGACATGAGAGACATGCTTCCCACAAGAGGGTAGCCTCTTGGACCGGGAATAACCGTTCCGGTTTTGTTAGTTAATCGGCGGAAGAGGTATTTGCCCCATGCGGGTCCACCGGGAAAGGTCCAGAAGAAGAGAGTGATGGAGAGCCAGAAGATTGCGACGGCGATGAGAGAGAGAACGATGTTAGTTTGGCTTAGAACGCTGCATTTGGACAAAAGGGCAAATGTTATGGAGCTTTCGAGTTCCGTAGCCATGGCGGATCAAATGAAAGTAAGTGAAGAGAGAGAGAAACAAAAGGAGAGTGTCTTTTGGTCTGTGGGACTTAAAAGATCAACAGATTGGCTTGGTATTTATATAGATAATCAGAAAATTCCTTTTTATAAAAAAAAGGTGTACATTCTTTTATTTAATATTAAATGGTATATATAATAATTTGATGTTTTTTAAAAAATTATATTCTGTGTACTTGTGTTATTTTATTGTCGCTCTGTATGTTAAGAATGTGTTCATTGTTTGACATATATACTTTTTATTTCATAAGTAATCACCATTCTCCTTTTTGCCAATATGTGGTTAAATTTTTGATCGGTAAAGTACAATTTGATTTTCCTTTTTGCCGATACTTCACATTTATATGGACGAAAACTATACTTCTGTACATATTATTTCCTTGTTGTCATGACTACTATAATAACCTAAAAGTTCAATTTTTTTTTTTTTTTTTTTTTTTTTTGAAGATTCTGAAATGCAATATTTGTAAGAGGGTACATAAAATACATCTGTGGAACCAAATATATGTAATTTCCCGTTAGCTAGCTAACTAGAGTTGCCGAGTCTTATTCTATGAGAATCGATCGACGTTGATTGTGAATCTCTTTTGTATGAATATCTAATAATTGAAAATTTGAAAGTGCTTGTAGATTTGATTCCATATTTTTAAAGGAAAAAAAAAAGCAAGACCGTTCAGCCACAAGATAAAGATGATTGCAGTCTTGTTCACCGATCTATTTGATAAACAAACATCAAGTTAAAGGTGTTTAAAGAAAAAAAAAGCAAGACCACTTTGAATGTAATCGTTGAAATCATTTTACATGGATTCCAAAATGTAACCACAGTTTATAATTTTACATGGTGCACATATAGCCATTAGTAAAATAAGTTTTTTTTTTATAACAAAAGAACTTTCAACAGGTGGCTATATATAACCGCAAATGAAAGAAAACATGAATCTTCTTAATTAGCGGAATAAAGTAAAGAATGTAATAAATATGTGTAAGGTGATGGTTACATACTTACATCAATTAACTTATTGTAAACGCTACTTAATTATCATCGTGACATTTGAATCAAACGTAAATCATGGAGTCTGCTTGTATTAATTAAATAAATTTTATCTGCTAATTTGTAATCCAGTTGACTTGACTTATCCAAATGACTTATCTGTCAGTTGTGTAACAGTTATACAATTTTTGTTGTGTGTTCATATCAAATATTTCTTTCACTATTAACTATTTAACTAATACTCGCACACACACACACATTAACATGTACAGTATATACTATATATATAGACAAATATATGTGTATAACGAACTATAAATATTGCTCAAAAGTTTAAAACCAACTAGTCGATCACCGATGACAGCATTCATCACGGTACCGTTACTAGTAAATCATACTTTTAACGGCTCAGCGCCGTCATACGTTACCTCTCCAATCCCATGGGATCTATCTATGCTGCTCCTTCGAGTGACGTCATTTTATGGGCCCCATGTTCAATATCTTTCAGTAAAACAATAAAAATTAAAACGCAAGTCAATACTGTAACTGACTCGAATAACTTTTCTATTTTTTTTGACGGCTAACGGGAATAACTGAAAGCTAGAAACAATTTAACTTTTACAGTCTAGGTTTTTGGTAAGAACTTAGGTTTATCTCAAACTATATAAAGATACACATTTAGATATAATGGTAACCAATATTAAAAAAAAGGCGACTGTGTACTATGGCGCTCTATTGTAAACCAGGATTTGGGTTTTTCATTATTTAAATATTTGACTAGTTCTTGATTAATCAGTCGCGTGATTCAGGAGTTATAACTTATAAATATAACCGCTTCTTGACATTTTCTAATCCTCTCGGTACGTTTTTTAATCGAGGACGTGGGAGCGATTAAGGAGTTCTCCAATAGGGCTTGTCCACATGTGCGTTTCATTGTTTTTCTAATATAATAAGAGACAAACTTGTCATTAACAAAATTTAAAACTAAAACGAATCCAGTATAAACTAACCGCGGTTTGAAAAGTTAAAGAATTCAAACCCACATTGTTAACAGAAAATAGCGTGTACTGTTGTACTTAATATATACTACTTATCCACGAGACCAATTTATTTGTTTAACATTAATTTACTTCTTACCTCTCTATGTGACTATGTGTGATATCTGCTCTGTGCTAGATGACGTATGGTAGATTGGCAGCTATACGATTTGTTCAAGTTTTAGCTGTTTACAGTGACAGCAATACGATTGAGGTCGCTAAGAGTAGTAGTTACTATTTTTTATATTCTTTTTTTTCTTGTTAAAAACTATAATTTTTTATATTCTATATACTGTATATTATAAATATTTACCACCATACACTTAAAAAAGAAATCATTACAATTTTTCCATGATTGTCATATATATAAATTACTAAACATTCTTAATTCAAGGTCGTCATATCACATATACATATTACTATAATCTAGAAGAAGTCTTTGTACACTAACTCAAATATCAGTTGATAATTGTTGAAAACTAATTAATCCTTGTCTTGTCCACATGATTGTTGCTATCAGTTTATAATTCGGTTGCCGCGAAAAATGTTATGTTTTAAAACTAGAATATTCTTATAAGATTCCTCTTGAAATATTTTTGTGATACAAGATTCATGGTTTTTTTTTTTAAATGCAAGATTCGTTGTATTTCTATCGTATATTACAATATGAACTTGTAAATAAAGAATCCAACAGAGTTGAATATCAATAATTTAATTATAAAAAAAACACTGTAAAAGAGTATTTGAGCTAGAAATTGATTGTTTGGGCGGATATTTGTATTTCTAGAACTATTTTATGATGATTTTAATAGTTGTTTAAGATTTAGTAATTATTTATATTTTAATAACAAAAAAAAATCTATAATGTGTTTGCGTGGATTTTGGTCGTTGGCTATGGTGCGGTCTTCTGTACCCAAGTGATGACACCTTCTGTTCACAGCCGTTGATTTTGTTTCCAGATTCGAACCATCGCTTTCCCGTTGCGGCACGTGTGAGATTCAAGTGATCGTGTTAAGTTTCTCAGTGTGTTATATAATTGACATATGAACACTTGGCGTAAGTGGAATACTGGTTGGAGAATGACCACAATACCCCCTACCTAAACATTGATAATCTAAAAGGCAAGGGCACAATAGTCATTTATTGCTAATCAGACAACCCACATGATTCGATTAAACACAAAATCTATATGGTCCCAAACATCAGTTGCTAAGTGTTTGTCGATGGCTTATATCAACGGTTAGATCATCTCTCATGTATCTAATGAGAAGTGCCTGGCCGTTGATCTAGCATCAACTTATTAGCAATAAGTAATATACAGCTTTACCTTTTATTTTTAAAGAACAAACAAATTATTTTACGAGACTATGTATGTTTGTATATATGTGTCTGCATGCATCTTGTTTTGTCATGCTTATTTATGTACATGTTTTTTGTTTTTCTACGGTTTTGGTCTTATATCAGTGTGAATCAATCCAAATACGAGACTTGGGTCAATAAATAGTTTGATTAGGATTGCAACTTCCCCCAGCATAGAGCTATTTATTCACAATTTGGCCACCGTATTAAAAATTAGATGCTATATGTAATTAAAGAAAGTATTCACTAGCAAATTACTATAATATGAAACGAAACTGAATGAATTGTACGCGTTTTCATTTAAACCAGCAACTCGGATTTTACACTTTGTACCATCATACTTAACAGTTTTTAATAGTAACTACTAATATATTTCCTTTACATGTGTTTGTTTTCTTCACAAATATATCTACGTACAATCTGTAATATAGCACATGTATTTCAATTGGCCGTTGTTACAATTTTAATTTTCAAAATTTCAGTTGTATAGATGTCAAACCTGTAATTTTTGATATTTGTTATGGACTAAAATAACTGTAATGACAGAAATTTAAAACACCATTTTAAGTCTATGATTTAGAAGAAAAAAAAATTATCAGTGAAAAATTATCTTTTATTTGTACTGTTATTTTTGTTAAAAGGTTGAGCTTATTCACCATCCATTACAACTTGACTATAAATATGAAGACTTAAGAAACTGTCATATTTCCTTTAACAAAAAAAAAAGAAACTATTTATAAGTGTTTTTTTGTCCAGATATATTTTACCTTTCAGATTACAGGGTAGAAACATGTGAATGCTGCTAGTTCTCGCGATTCCAAATAATGAGTCACCCACATATAGTTTAAGTATTAGACACATGCCCAAGATAAAGCTAAAACGCTAGCTAAAGTTGGTGAACAACGTACGTTTTACGCATTATAGTTTTGATATCGATACTAAAAAGACTACATATGAACAAATGATCCGGAATCTTTATATATAATAGAATTTGGGTTTGCTAATAATATTTTAAAGCAAGTTAAATTGAGGAAAAAGATTAGATTATTATGTTACAAAATGAAGAGGACAAAGAAACAATTAGGGTCATTCATCAATCGTTTTGTTGGGTATTGATACGTCAACTTCTTGGAGGGATGGGTGTCTCTATATGAACATATAGCCTTTCAGGTTAATGTGTGATCGTTTCCCTTTTGAGATGGGGCAAACTATTATGTCGTTGATGTGTTTAATTTCAAAATTGACAATACATGACAATAATTATTTCAAATTTTATAGTACCATGCATACATTTTATAGCCAAAAGTATTTATAGGCTATAGTACTTCATATAGCCATTAGTACCAACTATAGTTAAGCAATGATGGAAATTTTTACATAGCAGATTCTTTGAATAAGTCAATCTTATTTGAAATAATCATTAATCTGGCAGTTGATGTTCTAAATGTTATCACTCGAGTTGGATTGGTATTAATGTAAGAAACTGATCAAATGTTATGTCTAAAGCAAATATTGGATGGATTCTTTATTAGTCCATCTGATTGCATAATCATGATTATTATACATATTATTCTATGTTTATGCATGATATATGTATTACTCCATATGGTACACCATTGAATCGGCCATCGCCGTATACACAGCATCTTTGTACTTTACACAGATTAATGCAAATGGACTCGCAACATTATTCCGAGGATCACCTTTGAGATATCGAATAACTAGAGATATTATATAATCAAAGCTTTGGTTTTTGTTAATTCCATCGTAATATTCCAATCATTTGTCTCTGAAGTAAATCACACTAAGTAGCTTATGGTTCTCAATATCATATATATAACTTCAAAAATATTATTTAATCAAATTTATGTTAGGCTTTATCATTTTTATAACGAACAAAAAGGTCAAACATAACATAAGATATTACGTTAAGCTACTTAGCTGGTAAATATTATTTGTAAAATGAAAATGTTTAGACCATATTATGAATTTCCCGATTAGTACCAAAAGAAATACCATTAAAGATTTAAAGACGCAGTGAAGAGGACATAAAAATCTACTATCAAAAGCCACGTCATCATTTCAAAAGAAATCACGTGGCTATGTATCTTCTTAAATAACCTATAAGAAAGCACCACCGTAGACACGTAGTCAAAAGAAATGAAGTATCTTTTCTCAATACTCTCTACGTTTGATCTTGATTTTGCATTAGGAGGGCTTTTGCTGCTCATTTAGTAAAAAAAATTAAATAAATTTTCGTTTTCAAATAGTTAGAACACGTTATGTGTATGAGCAACGTCTGTGAGATATGATTCAATTAGAGGGGTGGTTGACTTTTTTCATTGCGCCTGCTCTATATTCGAAATCTACTAGGAGACTAAAGTAAGATCTATCAAGCAAAACAAAAAGCAGTATGCAAGATATGGCGCAACATGTTATTTTCATGGACACCCGAATATACAATATTTGCAATAAAATATCTGAAGAAGAATCTAGCAGCTTTGTTCTACTTTCCCACCCAATAAATAATATATTTATAGCTATAATATTTTGTAGAAACTTGGCATGGTTTGCGAAAATGAATCTAGTCTTTAGGTAATGATGCACTGGCGAATTAACTTATTTTAAAATTAAGATTCGATCACACGGTCCAAGCTAAATGAAGATTTGATTCTGATAGTTAAAGTGTATTGATGGAGTCACATAGACTCAACTTGGATGCAAAAGCCTCTCTATGTCTCACCTTGAAAATTCTCCAACCAAAAACTCTTGCATCATTCTTTTTTTCTCCAATAATCTCATCTCTCTATTTAAATTTTAAAACATTTTATACTTTGAATAATCGTTAACCAACTAGACTAGAGTTTGAATATGCATCAAATAAAACTTTTTTGACCGCACTTAAGACTTTTTTTCTCCATTATACCAACTGTCTACACAATATGGTCCCATTAGTTTGAATATTTAATTTTAAGATGGATGAAGAAGCTCTACGACTTGAACTCGGACCAATCATGCACTAAGCCAAAATTTTAACTGAAATCTTTGAATCATCATCATAAACGAAGAGAACTTGTAGACAATCAGATCAACTCTTCAATATTACCAAGTCCAATTCCATTCGACGAGGAGCAATTTTCAAAACCCTCAGATGTAACAACAAAAATAATGGTTTAGAATTAGGAAAGGTTTGTCAAAAGGCCAACCAACTGGACTCAAATTATATAAGCCTATTTATTTAAAGTGTTAAAAGAGCCGACGCCGTGTGAATTGATATTTGGCTCTGTTTTGTTGTATAATAAGATGTCTTGTCCCTTATACAACCAGCATTGTGTATGCCGTCAAAATTATGATTTATATATATTGCTATGTCACCATTTTAACATATATGTATTGATGTTTTTTTGTATTAAGTGATGTGCAAATGCATCATTGAAACGTCAAGAAATTCATTTCCAAACATTTAAGGTGATTAGCTAGTAGCTATTATATGCAAATCATTAAATCCGAACTTTGACTAGACTAATGAATGTATGCATTTCTAACAAAATCATCTCGATTCTCCATTAAATTGTGAAAGTGGTGGGGCTCATAAGTATATGATTTTCAAGACGATCAAGTAAAGATGAAATGTTAATACTAAAACTTTTAAAAATTATAATGATAACAATTTAAACTTTTATCATTTTATAAAGTTATTAATTACTAAATTATTAATTATTTTTGATAATGCAAAACCTGTTCAAAAATATTATATCAATAAATTTAAAGATAAATCAAACAATATTAATAAATTTAAAATTAAAATTAGTAATTTGAATTATTAATAAGATTTAATATTCATAAACTTAACATAATAAAATCATTTTCACAAAAAGTAAGCTTTTCTTTTTAAGTAATTTTAAATTACATACCTTTTTTTATCATGCGAATTTGACAAAGATGACAAAATAATGACAATATTTGGCATCAGTGAAACATGATATGATAAACATATGAGGTATGTACTCTCTCTCTCATAATTAATATGAGACAAGGTGGTTCTTGGAAAACACAAAAAAAAATTAAAAATTCAAAAAAATTAACTTATTTTTTATAATTTCAACTGTATTTAAAAAATATTTATATTTTTATATATATTTGTATGTAATGCAGATAAATTAAATAAGGTAAAATCACGGAATATTTTTGGTAAAGAAATTTGATATTTCTAAAACTAACAAATCTTAATTTTATTTGCAGAAAATTATAGAAAGCAGAACTGATTTCAAACAAAATGAAGAATGTTTGCTACAAAGAGAATTAAGAAAGGAAGAAAATATACTTTATCACAAATCTTCTGATTTTTTTAATGCCCTACTCTTTTTTCTTCGTTTCTCTTTAACACAAGCTATTTACAATCTCAGCCTTTCGTTTCTCCATTTAATCTCAGCTATTCACGTACAACTATCTCAACTCTATATTTCCTATAACAAAAGTCTTATATATATCAGGCAGTATAAGGTTTGCGAGTTCATCATCTATTAGATGGAATTGTGGTTTCGAAAGAAACTATAAAGAAGTGACGTTTTATTAATTTTCAATTTTCAAAACCCTCAAAACGTAACAAAAGAGTAATGATTTATAATAAAGGTTTTGAGCCCAACCAACTGGGCTCAAATTATAGAAGCCTATCTATTAAAAGTGCTAAAAAGCCCATAGGGTCTATAACTTGGAAGACGACGCCGTATTGAAGTGATATATTTGGCTCTGTTTTGTGGATACTGTATATGCTGGTTGTATAACTTGTATAATATGATGTCTTGTCTTTACTTCTTGTGTTGATCCTTATATATCGATGCAGAATTAAATTATACATATATACATATGATTCTCTCTGCCGTTTGAATTTTTTTATTCATCCAAATCAAGCCTTAAAACTTACTACGTAGCTACAAAGCATGATGAGTACATACTACTTATTACCAGAATTATAAAAGACTAACTGCGAGAATATACGACTTTCTAACACATAATTTATACACACAAACAAAACCTTGAGATTTCAGATCAAAATCCCACTGCTTCATTTGCTGGACCTCTCTATATCCATGGCTCGAGTCATGTGATGGATACGTTTGGTTTGGCCACGGACCGGTAAATTCCGATTTTGAATATGTATCCAATCTCTCTCTCTATTTGATCTTTTTTAGTAAGACTTCCTGAAATATGTTTTTCATCTTCCATTTTTTTTTTCTTTCATGACCAAAAATCCCACCATGGGTAATTGCTGCTTGATTGGTCCAAGAGAGTAGCAGTAGTAGTATCTGATTTGAAACCTCCCCAATCATCTGATGATGTCAAGCAACTATCAGCTGGCTCCACAATGTTCATTAGCTGATCTGCTTCTTCCTCAAACCCACCAAAATACTCTCTCTTGATGCTGTTTTCATAACCCTCGTCATCTTCATAATCATCATCATGATGATCCTTCTCACACATCTCCATCTCCGGTCTAACCTCCTCCGGTTCGCACCTCCGGTTCTCTTCGTTTTCTGATTCATGATCCGTGCTGCTTAGAGCCACCATCGCTTTATCACCTCCACAACACTTCTTTTCTTCTTCCTCCTCTGTTTTCTGCATCGACTCGTTTAGCCTCTGCAACTGCATAAAGTTAATAGCAACAACAACTCATCAAAGATCTCTTTTTAATTACAATATTTAACCAATAAACAAAAAAGCATAGATAATTATTATTTATTAACCATAAAAGCACAGATGTTAAGATAATCATACCTCAGAGACTAAAGCTTGTTTTTCTTTCTTGAGAGACTCGAATTGAGAAGCCAAGTTGTTGTAGTTTTGTCTGAGAATGTTAAACTCTGTCTCGAGCTGCTTCGACTTCCAACGAGCCCTCTTGTTTTGAAACCATATAGCTACTTGCCTCGGCTGCAACCCAAGCTCTCTTGCTAACTGAACCTTCTTCCTTGGCTCAAGCCTCGTCTCAGACTCGAACATCATCTCCAGTGACTTGATCTGCTCGTCGCTGAACCTTCTCTGATTGTTCTTGTTGTGGTTGCTCTTCTTCATCTTCCTCATGGACACGAAAGAATCTGCTGACATCATTGCCGGAGAATATTCTCCTTCTTCTGTCATCTAATCGGAATTTCCTCAGAGGACCTATGATTTCTTTTTTCTTTCTGGAATCTCTATGTTTGGCTCTCTATATATGTGTGTTGAGGCTGAGGTTATTATGTTAACAGTTATTATATATAAAATTTGATAAATTTTTATTTATTTTCTTGAATAAGATATAAACTAAGGGTTGCTTTTTTGTAAGTTTTGTATTCTTTTTTTGAGCTAAACGATTTGTGGATCGACAGGTAGCAATAGGGGCGGATTTTGGCTGCTTATAGAGTCGTCGCTATCACTTGTTAAGTCGAGTTTCATTTCAACGTGAACTAATCATCTAACTACTGATTAATAATTTCCACCTTTTTATTTTCTTTTACTTTTAGATAACTACGCTTTATTTATAAAGCTTTCTTGAAATTAACTTGTAGTTTTCTTTTTCCCCGAAAAATGAAAATATCACTACTATTTTAAATTATATATATCAGATTAAAACTTCTACAACTTTTTGTGGGTATTTTATACATTTAAGGTTACCATAAATATAGTATTTTCGAAACCAAAATTTTGAATCTCGAAATGATGAATAAATTAGCAATTTGCAACTATTTAAAAAATAATTCAAGTTGTTCATTCATTTATATAGGAATTTACAAAGTTCCTATATAAATGGATGATCTTTGATATGGTACAACACAAAACGCTTCAAACGCGTCAATGATTTTATATGGGTTTAATGATCGTTTCTTATTCTTAATTAAGAGCTTAAATGATCATTAATTGTATCATCATTAAAGTGAACAAGCACAAAATACATACACGGACGCACAAACGAATTAGTACAACTTTGGGAGTATGTTAATATCATCATGTGATATGAGTTCTTTTCCAGTATATGTCTGGTGAATATAAGGACCTATACTATAGTAGTGTAGTTTTATGAAAAAGTAAAAAAAAATATACATATATATTTATGCAGTTAATTTATGGGGTTGTTTTTTACCAATGTTAATTTATGGTTGTTCAACAGATCTAACGTTTTCACAAGTCAGGATGTGGGACGGCAGTTAGTATTTATTACGTATGCCAGAAATTAAATAAAAAAAAATTCAGATGTATATTTTTTTGCATTATAAAACTTCCATGCAAGTGATTACACATTTACACACATAACACACGTACCGGCTAACGCTAACTTAATTGTGATCACTTGTTGACATGTTTTCACCGAATAGAGGTATGTTTCACCGAAAACAAATTCTTAAAATAACTTATTTCTTCTTTTTTTGATGAATCATGATTTTACAATCATTTTCGTTGTGTTTACTGTTTCTGAAAATTAAAAATAAAATTTTTGAAAATCATCTTAAACCTAATAGACTTTTTTTTTCAAACTATAAACCAGAATATAGAATTTATTTCCTTTACGGTAACGATAATGATAATAATTTAACAAATAGTATTAGTAGTAGTAATGTGAAACGCAACTTTAATTATTGCTTTTGCGATTAGTTTAAGGTTTACGTTCACCTTGCTTGTCGGAGATTTCATTTGACTAATTAACACAAACAGCAAATGAAATTGGGCCACCTGGACATGGCATCTTTCAAACCAATACATAACTCTGATCTTTGGGAAAGAAAAATACATAATTCCCAACAAGAAAATGAAAAAGTTGTATCGAAATTTCAGTTGACATTTCTCTTTTTTATATGAAAAACATGTAATTTAGACTGAAAATCTAGAGAAAGTGGAAATCAAAAACTATCAGATTCGGCCAGGGAAAACTAGCCAACTGGTTGTGATCAGAGATGAGAGAGATCTTTTGCTTTGGGACATCAAAGTTGATAGAATAGATGACGTGGCAGATGATTTATGGTGGTGTCTGAATATTTTTGTCCAGCAAATGGTCACACGTGTCGAAGTTAACTTAAATATCGCTGTTTCCGAGAAGAGCCGTAGGAGAAGACAAATTCTTCAATTATTTTTTTTATGTTTGTAGTTTAATTTCGGGGAAAACACGGTTCCTTGTCTTGTTTGTATTTGCAATCTCCTCGACTTGCCGCGTGTATTATTATTTTTCCTTATATATTTAACAATTAATTAGGATTTCTTTTTTAGATTATCAGTATGGTGTCACGTTCACAAAGTTTTTTTTTGTTTTTACATGATCGCAATATTTCAAACGAAGAGATGTGCCGTATTTTACCGAATAATATTAGTATTTTTATCCATATATAAATCTTTATCTTCGTATAGAATATTACCGTTATATTACATTTAAAATCAAATTTAATTTTAATCAAAAAATTATACATATTGAATCTAGTGTTTGTATGTAGTGTGCACGAGAATCAATCGTAGTAATTTGTTTTGTGGCGTTATGGCATTTTGAGAGGCCAAAATAAGAAATCATATCGTAGTGATATTCTAGTAGAGGTTCAGTTTTGATGATCAAAATCAATAAAACATGCAAAGAGAGAACTAAACGGTAAAGAATGGATAACTTTAATTAACATTTGTTTCTGCTGTTATTACTTAGGCGCTATTCTTTTTTAACATTTACTTATATTATCTTGTAAAACATATAATTTGTCTTACTATATTTTCGTTTTTAGACCGTACTACTTTTTGTTGCTTCTATTTACGGATTTCACAGCTATCTAAAATAATTCTATTCAAAGTTTCTAATCTCGCGGCAGTGTAATAGTGTGTGAAACAACTGGACGACTTAATACAGTTTTGACGTAGAATTTTAGAAGTCTTTTTTTTTTTCAATTTTATTTTAGAAGTCTTTACAGACTGTTAATTGTTAATCCATCTTCAGGTTCAAAAATATTAACATTATTTAGTATTACCAGCACATAAAATATTCTGAAAAGCAACATCTTCTGTTCACCATTTTCCCGGTTTCCACATCTGTTTACATAATTAAAATTTGGAAAACCTGCATAACTATGGAATAGTATTTTCTTAATGAGAGATACCGCTTACTATCAAACGTATCATCTTGAGTAACTGTAAAATAAAACTAGAAGCGTAGATTGAAGTTTTTTTCAAAAAAATTGTTGTTCTTCTACACTTGTTTTTGTTCTTTACCACGAATTAATTTCGTCCCATATTGTTCTTGAATTTAATCCTACAGTTTTTCTGTCGTGATTTGGTCTTCCGTTTGTGTTACTACGAGTCTACTACACTAATTAACAGGAAAAGATAGCAATTTAGAAGAAATTATAAATAATATTATTTCATATATATTTTCCAATATGATAGAAATTTTGTTTTAAGAACTACTAGATCGAAATAATATGTAATCTGTTGTTCTAAAAAAAACAATATGTAATCTGAATATCTGATGGTGTCGATATATACGATGCCATCGAGCTGCCAATTGGGAAGAGACATTTCGCACCGTCTTAAAAAAGCTTATCTTTTCCTGATTATAATAACTTTAGAGAATTAATAGACGAAAAAGAAATATCTAATTACTTTTGGTCAAAATCATCATTGGTTTTATAATGTTATTATCAAAAAAGGATAATAATAATCGTAAATTCTTTGTCACAGACGACTCAAGTGGCCAACAATCTTACCCTACTTCTTTAACTACTACTACTCGCTAAAGCGATGTTGGAAAATAAAGCGGCTCGACTTTTCTTATCGAGTAATTAAACAAACTAATCCCCCTTAAATCAGATTAATACTCTCTCTGTTTTTAATATAACATGTTTTAAAACTTTTTCAGTTTTTTGTTTGAAAATATATAATATTTTCAGAAATCAATACAAAATTTATTAATTAATAACTTGTATTATCCTTCAATTAATTGATAACCAAATAAATAAATAATAATAAAAGGGTTATAATTGATATTTTACAAATTTTTTTAATTTATGTGTAAATCTTTAAAACATCATATAAACAAAAATGGAGAGAGTATATTTTATTTAAATACACCAAATTTCCAATTTTGACGTTTCATTGATCTTATATGATGGACAACTTTTTTGTTTTGGAATATATTTGTTAGATTAACTATTGAAGCAGAGATCACACTTAACTTTTATTTTACAGAAATATAGTTATTAATATGTTACAGATTATAGAATATAACTATTATAAAAAGTAAAAACGAAATTAGGAAGAAAACAGAACGAAGGAGGCAAAATTTGATAAAGATAACAAGTGATATGACATGAACTTTATCCGTATTAGAATTTTCTTTTTTGGTTTCCCTTTCTACGTGTAAAAGTATCTACAGTATGCTAGTACAAGTACGTTCATTGTACATGAAACATTAATTTGTCGCTTATGTGTCATAATTATCTAAACTAGTAACTATATTAGCTAAAGAAATTGTTCATTGTATTAGGCATAGAAGCTGATAGTACCATGTCAAGAGAAACCAAAGATTAGGTGTGAAGTGTGATATGGTTTTTAGTGCTGACTTAGTCGGACCAAAACCTGGTTTAGTACATGTTACTTGTTTTTTTTGCTTTAGGTTTCGATCTATTTCCACCACCGAAACCAACTTTAATATTAAAATTACAATATATATATATATATATATTTATTTGATCATATATAACTCTCAGTTTTTTTTACTTCGACCCCCGAAAAACGATGTTTATCTCTTACATTGAAATGTGTTATGTGTTATCTTTTAAATATTTTAGCTTTGTCTTCTTAAAACCAACCCACCAAATAGGAGAGGAAAAAAGAGAGTGAGCATTGAAATCTTTTTATTTTAAAAGGCCCATTATAGATGTTTAAGGCCCGTTATCACTTGACAATTGAGAAAGTGAATAGAATTCCATTGGACTCGTCTTAAATGAACTATATAGCCCAAATGGGTATATGTTATCGATAATACATGTAGTTAATCGATAATTGATTTCGACCAAATTATACGATGTGATTATTGACTACAATTGCGTAACTTTTTGTTATTTTCTTTTATTATTTTCAGGCCGGAGATAGAACATGTAAATTTCATTATTTTTTTTAATATCAAAATTCGAACTTTTTTTTTTTGTAGAATTCGAACTGGTGACGTTGAGACTCGTAAACTCGCGACATAGTGTAAATTTTGTATTATGAGTTTTGGATACACCAGTAAGTAGTAACACCATAATATATGTATGTATGTATGTGTGGAGATGAAAAGGGGTAAAAAGGATTGATGGAGATACATCGAACAAATGGTTAAAAA